CAATATTTGAGGGGCTGCCACAGAGAGAAGAGGGGGACAACCTATTTTCCAAGGCCAGAGAAGGAAGAATGAATGGAAACGGACCAAGGAGAGATTCAACCTGGAAATGAGGAGGAACTTTCTGACAGGGAGAACCATCAATCCATGGGACAGAAGTTGCCTTCGGAGGTTGTGGGAGCTTCATCCCTGGAGGCTTTCAAGAAGAGACTGGACTGCCCTCTGTCAGAAATGGTGTAGGGTCTCCTGCTTGGGCAGGGGGTTGGAGTAGATGACCTACAAGGTCCCTTTCCAGCTCTGTTATTCTGCTCTGCTCCTTGTGTCAAGCCACACACAGGCACTCGAGAACTTCTGTGTCTGCACTGGTGTGTGTGTGTGTGCGCGCGCGCCGGTGCGCCAGACTGACGCTTCCTTGCAACACCCCCTCCTTCCCAAGCCCTGCCTCTCGTTCTCTTGCACTCAACCGCTGACCTTGAAGGAAAGACTGGGGGGAAGGAAGGAATGAAGGAAGCGATTTGGGAAGAAGTGTCGTAGCCTCCCACCCACCTCTCTCCCTTTCCCCCAGATTTTGTGGTGTGGAGAGCAGGAGGCACCAAGCGGCCATCCTGGAGCAAACCACGGGGAAGACAAGTACAGTAGTCCTCGGCTTACAACCATTTCGTTTAGTGACCGTTCGAAATTACAACCTGTCTTAAAACCGTTTTTCACAATTTTGGCCACTGCAGCATCCCTGAGGTCACCGGATGCAAAATCGGCCGCTTGGCAACTCATAGGATCCCCTTTTGCGAACTTCTGACCCGCCAAGTCAGAGTTTACATAACAACCGTTTTGCTAACTTCACAACTGCGGCAACAGAGGTCATAAAACAGGGGGGTGGGGACTCACTTAACGGATTTTCCACTTAGCAACATCAATTTGGGGCTCAATTGCGGTCATAAGTCGAGGACTACCTGTCGTGCCTACAGGAAGCTTTTTCTGCCCCACTGCAGGCTGCCTTCTGGCCCCAGAGAGGCCGGCATCTTCTAGGTCTGCTTGACCTCAGGGGGATGGGGTGGGCATGGCCAGGGGGAGGTTGGCTAACTCGGCATCATTTGGGTCAGGGGAGCCTGTGGCAGCTCAAGTGCTCTGCCAGCAAAAACCGGCAGCCGAGCTCCGTTTTCGGCTGCTACGGCCTCCTGCAACCCTCTGCCAGGGCAAATGCAGGGCTTCCGAAAACAGAACTCGGGAGCCTGGTTTTGCTGGCAGACCCGTCCTTTGCTGTTTTTAGAGCGGCTTCGTGGGCCAGATCTAAGTACCCTGTGGGCCGAATCCGGCCCCTGGGCCTTGCGTTTCACACCCCTGTTCTAGGTGATTCCTCTATGCCAGTGGTTCCCAAACTTGGCAACTTTAAGACTTGTGGACTTCAACTCCCAGAATTCTCCAGCCAGCAGTGCTGGCTGGAGGAATCTGGGGGGTGAAGGCCACAAGGCTTAAAGTTGCCC